GGTCCTTAACGGGTAACCAAGACAAACTTTTTAAGTGGGGAGTTACATGATCGTACTTTCTCGCGCCACTAACGATTCGACATGCGTAGTTCTGCACAGTCTGTAATTTCCTTATATTTTTCTCTGTGGTATTTGCCCAGACGTTCGAGCAGTAGTACAACTTACTGAAAACCAAGGCATTTATCACGGTTAACAACGACGTTCTGTCAAGACAGTGTTTGACACGGCTAATTTGCGCAAGGCGTGCGATACATTCTGATACTGTGGTCTTAATATGATCATCAAATGTCAAGTTCGAATCCAAAATCACGCCGAGATCTTTGGGTGATTGTACTGGGGAGATGTCTTTTCCCAACAAAGACAAACGAAAATCATGGGGCTTCGAAGTCATCTGTCGGCTCCCGAAAACAATTAATTTCGTCTTGTCTGGACTTAGTACTAGTCGATTTCTGAAGCACCAGTTGCGCACATCGAGGAGGTCTTCGTTCATCTCCTCAACAATCCGTTGGGTGTCTTAGTTATACAAATAAGAACATTCTGATATCTGATGTAATAAAGAATAGGAACAGTGCTCTGTTAAGAGAATCACCAGTGACACTGATCATATATTGTATGACTTGCTTCCACCTAAACGTAACAGGGCTCTTAGAGATAACGGTCATGACTTCATACTCCCTAGAGCTGTGAAAACAACTGAACGGTTTAAACTGGCTTTTGCAAATAAACGTCTTTTTAAATTTCTTTCCTAATATCTTTTTTAATTAACTTCAAATAATTTTGTAATACATATGACAGAGTTTATTATTGGTTGTAAAGTCACATGCACGTATGCTGTGCCTGATCCTTTCGTAAAGACCTTATTTATTTATAAGTTTGGAGCTCATCGAGATTGCGTTTTTTTTATAGTTTACCGCTAACCATGTACTGGTTTTCCATTGGATGGCAAGCTCAAGTCGGGTTATTACTCTGGGAGAGAAGGAGGGAGTAGGTGTAAAGGCAAAATTTCGGCGCCAAAAAAAACCTGGCGTGTTGTTGACTTCTCTCCCGACATAGTCCTTGCACAATCTTCTCTTGAAAAGTCCCTGATATATTGCGTACCTAATTTCTACAATCTTGAGTACGCTTATTGGGTGTAGTTTGTCAAAATGTAACTAGAAAAATAGCGAAACCACACGCTGAACTGTTACATGAGTTTCTGATCCAATAGAAACAAATCCTCTTCTTCCTTTAGGGTTAATTATTGGAATTACTTAGGAGCTCCGCTTTTAGACCTGACTAAATCTATATCTGTAACACAGCTTAAGTTAACTGTGCTAAACGAGGTCATTCATCATACGAATTTCAGCCATTACAGAGGATTACAATTGAAATGCCTTCTAGCTCCAGTTTTAAGACCAGGCTTTTACAGCTGATGATCATGCATGCATGGCATAACCAGACGGTTTCTAAAATTTCGGTAGGAGACGCTTCACAAGAAGTGCCCCTGCACAGCCCACAATAAGCTTCGATCAGGCGGCTTGTGGCTACGAAAAGAATAATGATCTACTTTTACGCGCTGACAATAAGTCGACGTAGATAATTTATTACACATTTCCTCAGTTGAGTGCTCACATTTTGCCAAATGCACTTCTTGTATTTAACTGACTGGACGTAAATAATTCATTAGACAGATGGATATTTTAAAATTATTTCATTGTCAGACTTTGTGATTGGCTAAAAAGAAATGACTCGAAAATATCATTATCTGATCGAGTGATGTTTTGATGTCAGGATACGCAAGTCTGATATTGATCGATAAATTCACCGAAAGAAACCATAACTGACTACGTAATTATTCAATATAGCAAGTATATATATATGAATTAAATATAACAATCGAATGTAAACTGCAAAAATCTCATCCTGCATCATTTACAGCATACCATGAGGCGTGCTAGCTATTGCTGTGTATGAAACTATCTACAATATGAACAAAACACATCATCTGAACTGCTTCTTTCTGGACGTAAATCTGGAACAAACCAAAAATACAAATATTTCAGACGTTCTAACATGCATTCTCAATTCAGTGTTCTCTCTCGTAACATCTACTGGAAATGCTCTAATTCTACATGTCATCTGGAAAACGCAAGAACTTCATTCGCCATCTTTCATCTTTTTATTTTGTCTTGCTGCTACGGATCTTCTCGTTGGACTTATTATATTTACGCAGCCTTTTTACGTGGCTTACAAGATTGCCGAGCTTACAAATAACTATGGTGCCTATTGCATCTTGAGAATGATTAAGAGCATATCTGGGTGGACAACGAGTGGCGCATCTTTGGCAATCTTAAGTGGAGTCTCTATTGATCGACTTCTTGTTTTAACCCTTCATTTACGGTACAACACCTTTGTAACCGTTCAAAGAGTATTGCAAACTGTTTTTGTTGTATGAATGTTATCTGTGACAATCGTCATGCTAAGATTTTGGATTCGCCAGTGGCGTATTTTTCCCGCGGCAATAGTTGTTACCAGTTTTCTTGTCACAACCATGAGCACCTTGAAAGTATTTCAGATCGTTCGCAGACATCAGCGCCAGATATCTCANCATTGAACAACAGATCAAATGCGTGTAATTTGTCATCAACGTCGTCAAATACTTCCACAACAGACCAGGGCGCACCGGACATATCAAACTGAAAAGCGTCTGGATTGTAGTTTTTTAAACTCCTAGTTGTAATATATGTGGTCTTAGGTCTTACCTTGACAGTTCTCGTACAATTACCGCCGACCAACTCACTTTCAACGCAGGCTCAGTAACTAATGCGGCTCTCCTTAAAGTTCCCATGATCCCAGCTGGTGCGATAAGAGATTCATCTCCTCTGACTGTGGACATCACAGTCGCACATGACATCAGCATCGGACAAGGAGCTGACAGCGATATCAAATATGGCGTGTCAGACGGTACCAGATTTATTGGGTTTGAAACATGTGACAAGGGAAATTATGGAAGCAATTCTCCATGCTATGAATTGGAAGGCTTGTCTGGTTCTTCCTTAACCTCCGTACGATCCGAGTCAGTTACCCCTAAACCCAGCGAGTCCTTCTATCCCCGCCAGTTTGTCTTTACTCTCAGGCTAGATGAACGCTGGGGCTCCTGCTACACTGCGCATGACGGAGGTTTCGTGAGGACCGCTGGCTACAACAACCGACTGATGCTCAGCAAGGGACTCACTCTCGAGGTTTACAAGGGTAATGCAGGAGAGAGGGTTGGGATCAGGTACATCAAGGTCGCTGTCAAGCAAGACGCCTAGGAAGAGAAATCCTCAAACACAGCGCACTTAAGGGAACCATGGCAGTAGAAAAAGGAAACACGAGCAATACTGGGACTTTCAAAGAAATTTCAATCATTGCATGTTTTTAGTTGGTTAGTAAATAAAAACGGGACTAAGAGAAATTTGTTGGTCATTTTATGTGTTATATATGATCAATCATTGTCAGTCTACAAACTTAAGACCGACATTTTACAATGCACAATAAATAAAAAGCCTTTCAATCTGGACAAACACGTTGTTAAGAACTGGGCAGCTCAAAAAACACAGCAAAGTCGATGTCACTTGTTTATGGAATGCCCGCCAGGAATAAGGACTAATTTATGGAGGAATAATACTGTGCTACTGAGTTTCAAGCAAGCCATGTTTTTTCACAGTCTACACCAGTCAGTGTCAGTTTAACAAATGGATTGCATGAGGTAAAAATGTGGTAAGAACAAAACAATGACACATGAGCCATTAGACGAGTGAGTAACTGATGTTTCCAAGCCCGTTTTGACCCCTAGTGTGATCTATTACTAAATCGGCCGAGCGTAAGGCAAATGGAATCTACTGGTCTTGCATGATAAAGAAAAAATGTCAATGACGTCATCTTTACGTCTGTCCTGTAATGGCTTATAAGTAAGAACCAGTCAAAATGCGAGCGTTATTTGACTTTTTATATAATTCAAGATAAGTTATAAGTTGCCGGAATACATAGACTCAGTTAATTGGAATTGCTACCAAGAAAGTGTGACAAGACGCGGTGAAAGGCGGTTGTCTTAGCAACCTAGTGTTTTGACAGCCTTTCTTAGAGTTCGACTTAGGAAGACATTGAGCCTTGTCGTTGGTCAAGCGCAATCATGTTGAACTTCCACGATCGATAGCCCTGTGTAATTTGGTTAGCATAGGCGCAAAACCTCACCACAAATAGGCTTTTGAACCCCTTTCAACGAACACTCGCTCAATAACAACATCATTTTATCTTGTGAAGTGAATATGTCGTGAGTTTGTCATGATTGGAACAATTTTCATATATGGCAGCTCACTCTTTTGCTCTTAAATGTCTTAAATCACTAGTACAAAATCAAATACAATTATTTGGCCGGGAAAAGCGAAAAATATTTGTCCACGCTCGTGAGAGTTTTTCTTTACGAATAAAATTGACAGTTTAGCCACCCGTGCGCGGGTCTGCGAGTCTGCTGGTGGAAGTTGCTTTTTAACTGAATGGCAATCGTTTATCCGGAAAAAGAAAATTAATGAGAATAAGAGAAGCTTTTAGATTTCGTTGCGGTGAGAGCTGATTCGCCCTGCATCTGTTACACCAACTACATTCAGTGCCTTTGAGAAAAATCCTGGCTACCTTTGATTGTGAGCTAAATTTTACATCCTGATATTAACGATAGGTGAACTCAAACAAACGGCAAACAAAGGTTTATTTTCCTTGAGCGATGGTTAGCGAAGAGCAGACACATCGAAATACTGATATCGGTCAGTTATTTAGTTATTGTTTACACAGAGAAACCAGTTTGTCAACTGTTTGTACAAATGGTAAGCAAAATCCCTAATGTTAACTCCGTTCGTATTAATCATTTACAGATCATTTACCGTCACTCAACAAGCCTCAATTTACCGAGAGAACCTGGGACTGGTTCGACCTGATCACAATTCCAAGACTTGCAAATGATATTTTCGTGTGGAAATTTTGGACTACCTTTCAAGACGTTTTGTTTATTTGGGAAATTTTCTGGTCGGTCGAGCCAAAATTGTCTCACCTAAATTTCCGGAAGTCTGGGTAAATAGTAAATAATCATAATTAAACTTTATTGACATAAAATCAATTAGAATTTTATGAATCAATTTGAGCCAAATAAATATGAAGGGAAATCGTTTTAATTTATTAAGAAATTAATCACAATATAAATCAAGCTGTTTGCTCGCTGCTCTGTAGTGTGTGTACTTTAGCTTATTGTAAACAATTTGCTCGAGAATAAATTGAGCAAGTTTCATATTTTTTCTTTGTTTCCTGAGTCTGTTGGGATCAGCTTGCAATCGTTTTGTTTTTTTCTCAGTTGGCTCTTTGAGAATCAAGCGCAATCATGCAATTTTCACCCCTCAGTTCGATCCTGAACCTGGTTGTGTTACTCGGCGTGGTAAGTCAATTAAGATGAAGGTCACAAGACAACTGCGATTGCTATTAAAAGATCTACATTATCACATATAATCTGGTGCTAATTATAAACACAGTTATCTAAAAAAGAAATTTTGCGAACATATGAGTTTTGATTTAGGAATGAGTAGGCTACAGAAATAAAAACGAAACATTAGGTTTCAACTGGAGGGAACCAATTCAGTACAACTGTTGATTCAAATGACCGCCCACAAATTAACTACGAATAATATTATTAACTATAGGTACAACTGCTAAAAAGAATGATAACGTTGTTCCGTTGAAAAACAAAACTTGTTGCTGTCGAATATTCGGGCCCGAAGTCGCCCGAAAATGGCCTGGGGTATCCGACTATCTCGAAGTATCCTGTCAGTCTATTCACGACGGCTTGCGGCGAAGTATTCAATTTCTGCAGCCATGGCTCTGATTGGAGTTTAATTTTTTCTTGTTTTTAGATCGCTAATTCCCGTTGTCTGCATACCTCATGCTCACCAGACTACTGTGAACCACAGGTAGGTTACGTTGGCTTGCCAGACAAATGTTTCTTGAACTCAGCTGGCAGCTAAACATTTAAAAAGAATATATTAAAGTTTTGTTCTCTGTACTGGGCGGTATATCTGGATTTTGTATTTGACACTCTCCCACCAAGAAAATAAGTCTTCATTGTGAATTGATGAGTTTTTTCACAAGCTTGTTTTGTAGGAGAAATTGATTTACCATCAGACTATGACTCCATCGTGGCTGGAGGCGCATGCGTCCTACATTGACAGTTCTCGCACAATTACCGCTCATCAATTAACATTCAACGTTGGCTCAGTAAGTGACGCAGCCCTCCTAAAGGTTCCCATGATTCCAGCTGGTGTGATGAGAGATTCATTTTCGCTGACCGTAGACATCACAGTCGCGCATGACGTCAGCATTGGCCAAGGAACTGACAGCGACATCAAATATGGCGTGTCAGACGGTACCAGATTTATTGGGTTTGAAGCATGTGACAAGGGAAATTATGGAAGCAATTCTCCATGCTATGGATTGGAAGGCTTGTCTGGCTTTACTGCGACCTCTCTTCGATACGAGCCACTTACCCCTAAACCCAGCGAGTCTTTCTATCCCGGTCAGTTTGTCTTCACTCTCAAGTTGGATGAACGCTGGGGCTCCTGCTACACTGCGCATGACGGAGGTTTCGTGAGGACCGCTGGCTACAACAACCGACTGATGCTCAGCAAGGGACTCACTCTCGAGGTTTACAAGGGTAATGCAGGAGAGAGGGTTGGGATCAGGTACATCAAGGTCGCTGTCAAGCAAGACGCCTAGGAGGAGAAATCCTCGAACACAACGCACATAAGGGAACCATAGCAGTAGAAAAAGGAAACACGAGCAATACTGGGTGTTTCAAAGAAATTTTAATCATTGTACGTTACCAGTTGGTTAGTAAATAAAAACGGGACTAATAGAAATTTGTTGTCATTTTACGTTATATATGATCAATCATTGTCAGTCTACAAACTCAAAACTGATATTTTACAATGCACAATAAAGAGAAATCTGTTGGTCATTCTTTTACGCTGTATATAATCGATCAGTATCAAACGCAAATCGTCCCATTTCTTTTAATGTGCCCCCACCGACACTTTACAATTATCAGTTAGCGAAATTTAATCTTTTCAATCCTGACAAACATAGCTCTCCTAGGCCCTAGGAGAAAAGAAAACACCGTTAAAAGTGTAGCAGCGGAAAATAGGAGCGAAGTCGATATCACTCGTTTATGGAATCGAACACCTGCGGTATTGGGATTAGTTTTAGGAAGAACACTGGCTATATTTTTGAATTTTGAAAAGCCAGGTTTTTGACAGTCCAACTTTCATCTCTAGCTACAAAATAATTTACAGACTGAGTTGATCATGAAGTGAATACATGAACGGCCAGTGCGCCTGAAATTTGAATTGACCAATCAGGATTCACCAGTCACGAAAGCTACACTGTCTTGACATCAAAAGCATGTTATAAGATAGGCATTGAAGTCGGGCAACTTTTCTCACTGGGGACGGCATTTAATTTCCGATTGTAAAAAGTCAAAAAAAAAAAAAAAA